GCACCGATCTCACGTCCGTCTCTCAAAACATGTGCAACGTATCCATCTCAGGAACGCATACACCGACGCACACGTATACACAAAAACACACACACGCGCGCGAGCGCACGATTTGAAATAAAAAAACGACAATCTTATTATTAAGCCGACTCGTTACTCCGAAAAGAGTGTTTTCTTTCGGTTCGCACTTCACCTCGCGACGAGTTAGCACATAAATTTCCTCACGCTTCCGTTCGCAAATTGTATAGAATTGTCTTATTCCGGGTCGTTCTAAATGTTGTACGCGTTTAACCATTTCTTTCGAGCACGTTTACGTCGTAAAACTGACCTGTTTTCTTTCAAAAACAGAAAAAGTGACGTCAAAGGACGTCGTAACAATATTTTTCAACGGTAACCTAACCACAGTACGTTGCCTACGTCCCCTAGCGTCGATTTTACCCCGATTCAAATTCGCGGCCGGTAACACGTGAAGTGTCGTTATCGCACGCCGCGGCGGGTAAAGTGTCGTTTTCAACGCAAGAAAGAAAAGCCCTATCCTGCATCCGCGTTCGTCTTTCTCTCCCGCCTTGTTGCGTCACTTCACCGCGGTCCCGAACCTGTACACTTGCACACACGTGTGTGAAAACCTTACCCAACGTTCGTTCCCTTTCTTGCGTCCGGCTGAATCCGATTTTCTACGCGGAACGAGACATCCTCTCTTTCGGAGCGGAACGGAACGATCGCGCGGGGGTTACGTTCCTACGCGTAGAAGAATACGGCCGCGACACCTCCAGAAAACACCGGTCGGACGAGAAACGAGACGGAACAAGAGGTTGATTCACGGCTACTTACCATGCAGAAGAACTTCGGCTCGGCGTTACGCCCGCGCACGAACACAATCTAAGATGATGTACACCAAAAAGAATAGGAAATCCGTAATAGCGGCGATCCTGGGTCGCAGGATAGGTCACCTCTGGAACGCACGCAGCCTTTTCTGTCCCTCCAATCCCTCGGTCTGGTCACCGTCGCAGATACAGGTCGTACGGACAGCCGGCGAATAGAAAAAACCTCACACGCGTGGTCCTGCGGCGGATAGTAGAAAAAAGAACGTAACGCGACGAATCGAAGTCAAACGCGATACACACACGACAACCGTACGGCGCGCGGGTTCAGCGGCCGACTGAAAGGATGCAGTCGCCTTTGGTCCGCCATGGTCCGCTCACGGACCCCTGTGGCCCCTCGTGGCCGGCTAACCCCCCCACCAAAGGCGCAACCAACAGAGACAAAGCAGCTGCGCGCGCACCTATACATTTTTTGACCCTCCGCCGTTCTCCCTTCCCTCTCCGCCCCTCCCCACTCTGCCAACCCTTAGGCTCGATTCACCGTGCGCCGTCCCCTACGTTCCATCGCCCGTAACACTCACGCACATTACCTAGCGATGGGATCGATCCGGTGGTAACTTGTAATTTACCGACCACTTTCTTATCTTTCATTTTAAACCTTACAATATCGGAATAATTGAAGCATTCGATCTTTGATACGCTTCCTTGGTACATAGTACGCGCCTCTTTGCAGCATCTAACGGATAGAGTTCGAAGTACATATATGTAACTTTCGTCTCCAAGATGAGCAACTTCGCTGTCCGTTGTGTCGTCTGTTCATAGTAAAGATAGGCCCGTCACAACAAAACCACGTGACGTTCGTTAAGAAAGGTAGCCCTTTCATTTTTCTATCCTGTATAACTCTACTTAATTATTGTGATAATAAAAAAAGGGCAGATATTTATTGAAATTGAGGAAAGGCATTGAATATGATGCCTAATTCAGAAAAATAAAAGAGAGGGATTGTAGTTCAGACTTATTGCAAGTAGCCTTTTCATCGCAAAATGTACCAATCAAAAGCTGATCGCATGATTCGTCGCGTCGCCATTGGTGTTGTGGCGAGATCTATTTTTAATGTAAACGGGCAATGAATATTTCAAATAACCAATCAAAAATGACGAATTAAATGCTCGAATTCATTATCCAAACCTGAGAAATTCAATTTCTAAAATAGAAGAATATTTCTTTTGAACAATTTTAAACGTTAAACATAGTATAAACATCAGAATGAAACCATTAGATACTAAGTGCTGGACCCTCATTTAACCTTTCTATGGGTAAATGTGTGTACGTAAGCGCCATAAGAAAGAAGACAAAATTCACATACTCCTCCACTGCTCAGAAGTGATACAAAACATTAAAAACGATAAAAAGTCATAACTTACATAGCATTTGGCCCCTTCAGAGTCACTTTTTGCCAAGGAAAGAAATTGTTCCTCGTATATCCTTTTGAGTACGAGGGTGTTGCTCCCATTGCTAATAAGGCGACGTACACATCGCTACCAAGGAGTCCTTACTCCTTAGTCGACACTCTCGCCCGTTCTGCTACTCGGCCCCTCTTCCTACTGCTTGCACACTCGTCATAGGCCCTGTTTACACCCCGCGAGAAGGAGAGACTGTTACCGGTCCGGTAGCTTATATCGATGTAGGAAAAAGTACCGGCCGATCCTATTGCACTGGCGGAATCGAGGTAACCACGCTGCAATTCGACGGACCAATACCAATGGTAGCGCAATACACGCATAAGATGACGACCTTCTAATGCATCCTGATAACGCGTTACTTGTGCAGCGTAAAATATAAGGCACGCTCCGACTTATGCAATAACAGAACAAGAGCATCATTAATAACAGCTCGTAATATAAATTATCATCAAAATGAATTACTTAACTTTCTTCCCTTCCTTTTTGTTTTCAAGGAACGACAGTATTGATGGTACAAATACATATGAAGTAATCCTTCGTATAAAAATATGCCGAAATTATGGAAGAAATTTTTTTGCGAGAAACTTGGTTGTGAAGAAAGTCGACTTTACAAATTCATCTGATACACGTACAGTTCGATTATCGTTAGTGTTTACGATAGTCGATAAGCAGAAGCTGGATCAAAAGGAACAGACGCAACGAATACATAGGTTATATTGAATATCATGTGAATTTAGTGATTTTTTGAATTCATATGCAATGAATAACTAAAGTATTCGAGCCACAAGTTTTTAGATTGTTCTAATCAATGTTTATATGCGCAATGAATCTTTTAAATATCTTCTTATTTGAACACTTTCGTTTCTCACTACGTATGTATTCATACCAACTACGCCATATATACCTGATTGTGACATCATACCACATCATACTGACCTGTTTAAATGTGTTCCACCTTAAGAAATAGATACATAGAAGAATTACGTTTAATATTTTGTTTGTTAACAGGGCGCTCCGATGTCCTGATATTATTAAAAAGTTTAAATTTATTGTACCAGTACGGTGTAATTATTCTAATTACTTCAACTCAGTATTGTTTAACGTTACAAATGCTTATTACTCGTATGAATTTTCATTCACTTAAATGGGATAAGTAAGTTATTAATTCCCTTAATACGCAATTATGACGACCTATTCCCACTACAAAACAGTAATTATTATACCTCGTTTCCTAATAACGAAGCACCGGATATCGTGCTTGATTATCAAGAGTTAGGCGCGAGCATCAAGAGGTCTACAAACGGGAGCTTTGATACCACGATAAACATAGTCGTAGACTACGTTAATAATGTCGCTAATTGTAAAATAATCTAGATTGTGCTTGTACATGAAAATTTGTTATTTTATTTAAACAACTGGGAAATATACAAAGAATGTGTTAAATAATTCAACATTTGCTTTTTTGCCATATTATTATATTACCATTAGGAGAATATTTTCTATTTATAGTAATGTATGTGGTAAATGTAAAAACGTGACTAATACATTATTATATCAAATAAATACTTTTAAATAATAACTTATTATCTGGTAATAAAATGTGCAGTTTCTTTTACATGTAATTTGAAATATTGTAAACACTTTCGTTTATTAAAACTAATAAAACCTTTGAAATTGCAATATTAGATAAGTAAATAGAAATTATATTATTTAGAATGTTGCTACGTCTATGGTTTGACATTACATCCGGTATTATGGATAGATATTACTAAATGGAGTTCAATGAAACTTCGGCTTATATAAAAACGATGTTTGCAAAGCTTTTATATTCATGTATCATGTATTATTGGTATTCAAAAAAAGTCTTTATTTATTGTGGTGACTGTTTTTTTAATTTAAAATTGCCATTTGTCTTTACATTCTACTAATTAGAATAAATTCTACAGATAAATTAGCGGTTTAATATTACATTGTTCAATTAAAATCATATTTACTCATTTTAATTGGTCTAGGTAAATCAAATTGTACAGTCGCGCCTCTCTATCGGTAACGTAGAATGATGAATTGTTTTGACAATTAGCGAAAATTGCTTCATCTTTAAATAATAATAATGAATATTCTTATAAATAACATGTATAAAGAAATATCAATTCTGTATATACTAAATCTAAATATAATATATTTAAAATTATTACAAATGTCACACATATATATAATATGTACATACATACTGTTGCATATAATCTTTCGCAATGTTTGTCAGTTAATGTAATCTTTATGTATACATATCAGAAAAAGTTACGTTAAGAACATAAAATCCTGTATATTATAAGAGGTTTGTTTCAAAATATATGATACTGTGCAGTTTGTTTGAAAAAGTATGTATGTATGATGTCATCTTCGTTGATTAACCTATTCAAATTCAAATATTAGTGAAAAAACGAAGGAAAATGTTTTAACGGGAGAGTATTTCTGTAATCGATATCACTAAGTATTCTTTAATATATAAAAGTTTAATTTGATACCAAATATCTTGCAATAACATTGTCAAAGTAATAATAACTTTATTTAGGTTTATTTTAGTGTTGTTTAAGAATTCCAGGCAAAGAAGGTTAAGTGTTTAATATCTCTTTTTCAGTGGAATTTTACAAGAATCTATATAAAACATAAAAATTTGTCACTAGTGCATGCTGATCATGTTAAACTATAGTATACTATGAAGAATATATTTCTTTTCATCATTCTGGTAAGATATAATTTTTAATAAATTCCAGACAGTAAATCACTAAATTAATTTGTTAATATTAATTTAATAAACTAATATTATTTTAGCAGGTACCCTATGTATTAGCATTTAAAGAAAAATTGTTACATTATATATCTGATGAAGTTGCTGGAGGTTCTTATAAATATTATAGTTTAACTTATGATGGATTTATTAGAATAATATTAACATCTGAGTAAGTAAAGCAATAAAATGGGCATTGTTTAGTTATTAATATACTCATATTATTAAGATGTTATGTCTGTGTATATGGTATATACCCAAAGTTTTTATATTATGAATTTCATAGAATCGGTGATGCAGATATTTATGCTTCTCAAATAACTGCAAAACCAACTTATGAGCCAGATCAATATTGTCTTAAATCTGCTACATGTGGAGAGGATATAATTCTTATCCCTGATAGGTATATATTAGTTACATTGAATAACATAACATGCAACAAATAGATTTTAATATATGTATTAATTTTTAGTTTTGAAAGACCAGTTAGTATAGGTGTTTATGGACATCCATGGCATGAAATTAATAGATATGTTCTGTTAGTGTATGAAACAGAAAATACAGAAAATATATTTTATGAAAAGAGTGCAGCTGATATTCCAAAAGACTATAATAATGTATGTTTTCTTCAACAAAATTACATGAATTGTTACATAATTACCTTCTTTCGATACTTATTTCTGTGTAATTTTTCATGTATTCAAATTTTATTATTTCAGGACCAAGACACATCAGTTTCAGCATTGATTACATATTTAAATCTTTTAGAGGTCTTTCTTCAAATTTTGTTTTAATGTATAAAGAAGCATAGTTAGAAATTTAATAATTAATTATGTTGGAATACGAGACTCAAATATTTTTAGAAATACTCCACGAGGATGGTCTCGTTGTTACTGCAAAGTAATTATTATATTATCCATTTTTTATAGTTAATATTCAATGCTGAACTCATAATTTATTATTTACTTTAGAGGACTTGGCATAGAAACTGTCTTTGCAAATATATTGAAAGCTTATATAGATCCAGGAAACTTGGTTATAGTCCTAGGGACTACAAATCATGATGAACAATACTTTATTGATACGTTAAAAAAATCAGGGGTAAAGCAATTACCCCGGGTTATAACGTCTGAATGCTCATCGGATGAAAGGTTGTAATTAAAATTGTTTATGCTAAACACGTAAATTTGCTTTCTTTACGTGGAAACTTAATATTTTCGTTCAATAATTACAGAGCAATAATGTATTTAGAAGGTGGAGCTATGTTCATGTCAGGTCCAATTCTGGTAGTAGACTTGTTAAAAAACAGAGTTCCGTTAAATTTAGTTACCGGAATTCTTGTATATAGAGCACATAATATTTTAAATTCATATCAAGAGGCATTTGCTCTCCGTTTATATCGGCAAAACAATAAAGTATGTATTTAAAAAAAAGGAACATGGATATTTATTATTTATATAGTATGAAGTGTTATATTTATTAATTGCGAAATATAAATATGAATTTTTATAGACAGGTTTTATTAAAGCATTCAGTAACTCGGCATTAGCGTTCACTGTTGGATTTATGCAAGTAGAGCGAGTAATGAAGACATTATTTGTAAAACAATTGTATTTATGGCCACGTTTTCATTCGCTTGTAAATAGTAGTTTAGGAGAGCATGAGGTAAACATACCACGTAATTGTTAATGTTATGACACATAATGTATATTAAAAATTACAGCAAATAATTATGTTTCACAGCCTGAGGTAATTGAATTCCATGTAAAAATCACACCAAAAATGTTGAATATTCAGTCTTCTCTACTTGATGTCATGAATTATGTCGTAAAAGAGATAAAAAAGCTCAATAAATATGTAAATATTCAATTCTATCTGTATTTTGAAAAATAATCTTAAAACTCATTCAAGATTTATTTTTGTAGGTAGATTTAGATGAATTGACTGTTGAAAATGCAATTGCTAGAAAATTTCACAAACAACTACAGTCTCAATTAGATCCAATGTGGCATCAACTTAGTTCAACTTCAAAACAGTTGTTGTCAGATTTGAAAACGTTAAGAGCTCTCCTCGCGTAAGTATTTATGTTCATAATTAAATAAATAAATAAACGAAATTAATTTTTTACATAAAACTTGCAGCTGTCTAACACACGAGGATTGTGTATCCTTTTATTCAATGTTAAATCGTTTACGTACTATGGAATATGCTGTGAAAAATAGTGGTTGGTTAATGCTAGATTCTGTAGATATATTATTTAAAAACGCAAAGGACAGAGTTTACAATGAAAAAACTGGTGGTACGATTTAAATCAGATTTATATTTAAAAAAATGTTTTGTATAATTTCCCATTATTTAATAATAATGTACCTCTTATCTATAGAATTGAAGCCAGAAGCAAATCCTAAATGGACTGCTTTAACAGAAGTATTGTTAGAAATTCAGCATCAGAACAAGAAAAAAGGAAACAGTGGGGATGTTGAGAAAATTCTTGTGTTAGTACATGATCGTAATATATGTTACCAATTGAGAAATTATTTAACCATGGGTTCTGATAAGTATTTACTGTATGAAGCAATGAAGAAACTCCCTCATAAAGAAATACTGAAATCAAGGTACATAATTAATCTATATAAAATAAAATTTGCCAAGAAGATTAATCCTACTGATATAATTATATATTTTTTGTTATTATAATTAGTGAACAGAATGTAGAAGGGGAGTCAACATCTGGAGAGACAAATAATGACGATACAGACGAAAGTGAACAAGACACTTATGTGTTAACATTATCTCAACAGATTAATGAAGAAGATCGATCTAATTCATCTGAAGATAAAGACAAAAATCAAACTTTATTTCAGGATTGCTCACAAGTAATATTTTGTTGCATTATTTAATGCCAATGACAGTTAGAGTATTTAATAACAACATATATCTTCTTTTAACAGATGGCAGAATTAGATTTAACTAGTGTAACGACAGATGCACCTATTATTTTAATACAATCTTTGAAAAGAAACGGAGATCCTATGTCTTTACAACGTGCTTTAGCAGAACATATGCCACGAAATATTATTATGTATGTAGCTGATATTTCTGCCGTGCGACAAATTGAGGTATGCATAAAAAATCATAATATATTTAGTTAATTCAAGAACAACCAGTGAACATGTATATTGAAGAACATGTAAATGAATATTATTTTCATAGGTTTACCAGAATAATAATCCGACAATAGACACAAAAGTATATTTTTTAATTTATGAAGGATCTGTGGAAGAACAAGAATATCTTACATCATTGCGACGAGAAAAAGAAGCATTTCACAAATTGATTAATGCTAAAACTGTAATGTCACAATATTTTACATTAATATTACCGTTTGTATGTATCACAATATATATTCTTCTTATAATTTTAGACAATGATCATCCCTGCTGACCAAGATGGAAAAACTGAGGATTCTTTGAGCCTTTCAATGCAAACGGATACAGACGCCGAAGATAATACACGCAAAGGGGGATTACAAATTCCGTCCGATGTTACGAATACTGTAATAGTCGATATGCGAGAATTCCGAAGTGAACTTCCTGCTATACTTTATACGAGGGGCTTTAAAATCGAACCTGTAACATTACAGGTATATTAAACAAGAAACTTGGGATTTTTCATTTGAAATATTCTCAAACTTAAGTTTTATTTGTCTATTACCCTTTTTATTTACAGGTTGGCGATTATATTTTATCGCCAGAAATTTGTGTTGAGAGGAAAAGTATTTCTGATTTAATCGGTTCATTAAACAGTGGGAGATTATATAATCAGGCTATATCCATGACAAGACATTATACCAAACCAATGCTTTTGATAGAGTTCGATCCAAACAAACCATTCTGCTTTCAGGTAGATACGTTTTCCTTTGTCACAAATAAAAAATGATTTCAATTTATTTTCAAGAATTAACTATATCATTACAGGGATATTATTACGCTAGCAAAGACGTTCAAAACATGTTCATAACTTCGAAATTGCAACTGCTGACTATGCATTTCCCACGATTAAAGCTTGTATGGTCGCCTGGACCTCATGCAACAGCACAATTGTTTGAAGAATTAAAGGTAGTAAAATGGATTTCTTATAAGACACAATGAATACATTCCATTCTTTTTATCAATTTGAAATAAAAAAATTACAGCAAGGAAGAAGTCAGCCAAATGCAATTACAGCTGCTCAGATTGGAGTCGAAGAGAATAAACAAATGGGAACAGAGAAATTTAATTCCCGTATACAAGATTTTATCGCTAGATTACCGGGAGCGACTACCAAAAACGTACATGCAATTTTGAATAACGGACAATCATTAGACCATCTTAACAAACTTACAAAAGTGAGTGTTTAAATAAAAAAATTTGTATACGATATCGCATAGATCTTTTCATATTCACATAAAAATTTGATCTTTTGCAGGAAGAACTTACGGAAATGATAGGAAATAAAAATGAAGCACAAATGTTATACAGCGCGTTTCATGAAAAGATTTCCCCAGCTGAAGAAAAATCAAAGACTAATGGTAAAAAAGCCACATACAGTAGAGGTCGTGGGAAAAGACTATTTTCCAAAATAAAACAATGATGTATAAATAATGCAGTGTTTTTAAAGGTATCGATTACTTCGATTATATTTTAGTCTTATAGGAAATTGGAATTTTGTGTGTAAAATTTTTCATAAGAAATAGAAAATATTATTTTTTTATCGAAGTTTAGTACAAATTCAAAATAAAAACTAGTCAACTATAAAAACACGTTTACATAATGATACAGAATATAATTTTATTTTTGTCTCTTGTTCACGTGTTTAATTATTCTTGCATGTCAAAAGACTTCAACAAACATAATATGGCTTCATTTAAGATATCTTGTAACAATGATATACAATTTTCTGAGATTAGTAAATCAACTTCAATTTGTTTTGCTTCTAATATGCTGTAAATTCAGAATAATCGAAATGTATTTTAATAACAGCTTTTAAAAGAAGTTTGTAATAGTTAAAAATTATTTAGCATACCTAACAATCTTTAAGTCACCACATTTTTGCATAAGTTTTGCTTTTTCAACAGCTTTTAAAGCTATTTGGTGTGCAACTTCTAATACTTTATGTATAATTTCACGAGTATCAATTGAAATATGTTTCAAACAGAACTGAAAAATTATGCGCATGTAGTTTAATTTCGGCATCGAATATATACAATTGTTGAATTAACTTACTTTATTCTCTTTATAACAAAAGACATAAGCCAGAATGATTTTAGAAATTTGCGAAATAAACATTAATTTGTCCTCTTTAGTCATTTGGTCTGGATGAAACTGCTGTAATAACTGATAAAGCATAGACTCGGTTATGCTTTCACATCTATGTTTTGGAATTAAATGAACTTCTTCATACATACGCATATCCATGCCTAACGGAAGCATGATGAAAATATAAGAAAATTGGTAAATATAAATAATGTATCGTGTTCATGTACCTGTCAAATAATCAGACGAAAGACAATAAAGGCCATTTAAATATCGTTCAGCCATTAAAATGGAAGCTGTATCACGAACATCTATTGTATCTACAATATTATCAAGCCAAGATGTAATAGAATAGAAATCAAATCCAGTATTGCTATATCCTGTATCTTCTCCTTCCATAGATATTGGTGGCTGATGCTTCTAAAAATTAAATTACAGTTGCAGATAATAAAACTCAAATATAATATAATGTTATCATCAAATGAATAATTTAAATCATTAGCAATAATTTTACTCACAAGGAAAACTTTTGATTCTGTCTCCATTTTGGGTTCATCTATAAAAAGATATTCTCCACAATCTGAAATTACTATCTGTTTAGTAGGATGTTCATAGTATGTCGTTATACTCTCTAATGTATTCAAAGTTTTAATTCCATCCACAAGCTGTCTTTATAAGGCACGTAAATCACGGTAATTAAATTTTGTTCATTGATTGAGTTTCGAATAAACAGATGTCTAATACAAAACTATTTTTTCTTAACTCACCCAAAAGCAACGTAGTGATAATTCATCCATGGATTGGGTTTTAAGCATACAAAAAACTGAGATTCATTGCAATGTTTTCCGTCATTTGCCATTGAGAGAACTCCACGACGATCATGAGGAATGCAATAAGACTCATCAGGTATCACATTAATATTATTTACAGAATTATCATTGATTTTAGGTAATCTAGTGCCTTTGGTAAATAAATAGTTAGATAACAATAAGAAGCAATTATATTACGTTTAATGTATGTCAAGTCTTATAATACTTTATTTCACCTCCACATTGAATCCATCCATTTTTTACTATACGATGTACATATGTATTTACATAATATGAATCTCTATAACATTTTGCTACTTCGTCATATCCAATACAAAGATTTAAAAAATGTTGACAAGTTAATGGTAACAAATCAGAGTACAGCTAAATGAATATGAAGTTTAATAAGAATGTTTTTTAAAACCAATAATGCTGTGTAAAACTAATACAAGTGTGAATTCTTACCATAAACATAAAAGAGCCAATTATAAAACCATTTTCAGCAAATGTAAAGTAAACATATTTTCTCTAGAGTGTAGTATTGGTTTTATATTACTGCATAATTTATAATTTATCAATGTATCCATTATTATTTACAATCACTTACCTTAGATTTTTCCATGAATAGTTTACACCGTTCCATGGCAAGGTTTTCGTAATACCCTATACTAACAGGTAAACTAAAAATATAAGATTCACTTATATAATGTACAAATTCCACATCACTACCGAGGAATTTGTCATTAATAAAGACTGCTACAGTCCGTGTTAAAGACCACATTTTACCACCAATTTGCTAAAAGTTATTGGACACAAGTTATAATTAATTCACATGAGTAGTAGTCACAGTGTACTTCATTAAATACAAATAATAATTACCCTTTTCCTCTTTTCAATATATTCGTACCAATCTACTTGAAACATTTCTATAATTTGAGGAGTTGTAAATTTAATTGGCATATGTTGATGTAATTTTTCTGCACATATTCGAGCTTTTTGAAAAGCAATAGTATTTATAATACCTACTACTTTAAGTCTAACACTATCGTTTTCAACAAAACCTGAGCAACAAACGTTATTAATTTCATTAAGCATCATCGTGATTTAACAAAGTTTAATCTTCTTTAAAGATTATTTAAATAACTTATTTTGTAAGATGATATGTGTACATGGAATGAAATGATGTAAAGATAAAACACTGTTACATAAACTATATTCACATTTGTGACTTCTTCAAGTGTTCATATATATTGTACATGTAAAATGAAAATACTTTTTCTTTAAGAAAACAGGTAATGTAAGGTTTATGTATACATCAGAACAAAGTATTATACTAAGAACATTAATAAATATTTATTAACTGGCATTATTTTGTTTTAGTTCTCAGTTACGTTGATAAAACCTTCCTAAAAAAAAACCATTCTAATGTAATATTCTGTTACACATGTAAAATGTCTATTCTTTTAGTATTTCTTACACTGCTTCTGTAGTATTTTCGACATCGTTTTCCTCGTCACTACTGCAACTTGTATCCAGGTTGTATAAGAATGAATCATTTTCACACATAGGAAAATAAAATCTAAAATTTTATAGTCATTAATAAGTATTACTAGATAATAGATTAATACGTTAAAATTCATGTATATTCCATAAAATACTAACTCTGGGTGATCCCATACTTTTTGTATAGGTATCTTAAAATGATTTTGTCGCTTCATATGTTCCAAAGTATTATCCACTTCCACCTCGCAAAAAACGCAACGACGCAATTGAATTTGTCTTCTTATATAATTTACTACTTTCACCTATTTTAAAATAAAAATTGACAAAAAAGATATTTGATTATTTCCTTATATCATATAATATGTGCAAAGTTTTACTTTTTGATAGAATGTTAAATCTTTCGATTCTTCTTGAAAGTTGAAATCATGTTCAGTTCTCATATGAGCAAGAATGAAATGAAACTGCTTATCAGTGTGACTGCAAAACAGGCATGTTATACCAATGCCTTCATCTTTCCAATCGGACCATGTTTCTTCATCTTCACTACTTTGATCCTCCACTACATCATTTTCTCTTGAATTACTCTAAATATATTAAAAATTACATTACAACAATTACAATCTAGTACTATGGTTTTACAATAATACCTGTTTATCCTTCCATGATTTTCCAGGCTCTAAATAATTATTTACATAAAATTTGTCATATTCTTTGTTTTTTGGATTTACACATTTATGTAATTTTTTGCGCATGTGTTCCTTTAATGCTGTGCGATCTTTGAACAGTTTTTCACAATACATACATACGAAACTGGAAAAAACATATACTTGCCAATTATATTTTGTTTAATTAATTATAAAAACAGTTATAGTTTCAGCTCTATTTAAAATTTCTTACTTTCGGATTGTATCTTCAATCTTATTTAAAAATTCATCTATAAATACTAGATTTTCTGGTTTTCCTAAGTATAAATTATGTTTCTGTGCTAAATGTTTCACATATGTAATACGTAATCCTGAAAATTCCATTCGACAAAAAATACAGCCACGTTTGAAGTTAGTGTCTGTTCTTTCTTTGGTTTGTTCTGATAAAACCCATTCCTTGAAAAATGAAATACACATTATATTATTATTACTCTTTATCAAGAAAATTCATTCTAATATAAGTTACTCATACCAATTTAGCTCTATGTATTTCATCTCTTAATGTCTTATCTTCTGAGATGCAATCAGAAAGTAAAAAGTAGGTTTCATTTTTACTTGGTTTTCCATCTGGTGTGCAATCCATTAACATTGTTGTACAATATGTAGTTATTGGTGCTTCTTTAATCTTAACACCCCAATAACGTATATAGCTGAAATATAAAAACTGTAAAGTTATAGAATATTTATTAACAAAATCTCACAAAAATAATATAAACCTTTTTAAACTGGCAATGTTCCATACATCTCCTATTATAAGCCTATGCTCTTTGAACAAGTGATTCAGCAAGTCCTTCTCATTATTAGGAAGAAGAAATTTTATATCGCATAAAAGACATTTTATATCACAAAGCTTATCATCCAGTTCGACAAATTGAGATTTATATACAGTACAATTTTGTTTGGAAACATTGCTCGAATGTGACATATCTGTATGTTTTTCTGCAACACAAATCAATACAATTTGTTTATAATAAGATTAAAATTTCATTCTGAATTTACAAATTTATTTTCAATAGAAATTGGACAAATGTGTACCTTTGAGATTCATAACTGTTATAATTTCGAGGAATCCAAATAGATTATATTTATTACTTCGTAAAATTTAGATTTACTCCGAAAATTTGTTGCAATAGGTTAAGTATTAATTCTTATACGATACAAAATTCCAACCATTGAAATAATAATTTCGTCTATCTTTCATTAGGCTCGTTTAAAAAAATGATTCTATATAAAGATTTCATTACTAAGCATAGAGAAATGTATAAGACCCATTATTAGGCTTTATCACATAGGACTCGATTATTTTAGCGACTCACACGTACCACGCGTTTATTGTTTATTTATGCAACATTTACAGAAGTAATACTAAAGAAATAACAGTTAATTCATATTGTAAATATAGATGTATTTAAAATCTTTTCGTAATAATTACAATATTTTATACTTATTTAAAACACAATAACAAACTTTTAATTTTTACAATTTTTTAGAGACAAAGTATAAAAACCAATTCTAAACAACAGAGATACATATAACAAAACATTCCAGTCACACATTTTATAAAATTAAACAATCTTATGGAAGAACAGGAGATAAGGAAAAGTCCATGAAAAATGTACAAAAAATTTTATTTCTCTTTCTCATTGCTGGATTTGTCTTTAATAATCCCATATAATAATATTAAATGGCATATGTGTAAAGAAACACTACTAAAAACAGTGCTTGGATAAGTATTCCAGCATAATTCTATTATGCCCAAAATGGTTAGCTTAATAACAGTCTTATAATCTGTACACCATGCAATGTAAGGAAGTGTATGGTAATACCATATGTAAAACTGATAATGCAGTGATCTGCTAAATGCAATGCCAATAAAATTGGCAGCAAACATTGGGAAAACAAACAGCTGACTCATAGTAGTCATATCTATTTTTTCTTTCTTTTTCAACTGAGGCTGTAAACTTTTCTCCACGTGTTTCAAGTTTGCATATGATTTCATGTATTTTATCCACTTTGGTGTGCAATAAATTAAAGTCAATATATGTAGTGCCAACAAGGATGCATGAAAATATGGATGAACAAAAACATGTTCTGGCAGAAACCTCCAATTTACAGTCCATTTAAATTCAAAAACTCTACCGAAATCGAAAGAACCTTTAATATAGGCCAAAGGATTATTGATTATAAAAGGTAGACCTAATATTAATTGAATTGAGCCACAAATGATCAAATGAAATACTGTCTTCATAAATCCTAGGTTGCACAAGTAAGCAATAAGAAGCACTGGTGCAAATAATAAAATGTTCATTTTTATAGAGACAGCTAAACTGTAAAGAATACTTCCTAAATGCCAGTGTTCGTCTAAAAATGCGTTGAGGCTTGCAAATAAAAGAACCATTGCAACTGGATCATTGAAAAGCCTTAAAGTGAATATAGAATGAACACGATAAGATGTAAAACACAAAATGATCAGAACATAAGGTGGAACTTTTTTGGTTTTTGAGTAAATTCGAAAGACTAATACGAGCAGAATTATATAAAGAGCTGCAAAGATGTACTGCGCTATTTTTATCTTTGCTCCATGCCCCGTGATGTAGTACAGCGCGGAAAATGCATAAACAAATCCTGCTGGGTAGACTAGTGGTCCAGTGTCACCTCTCAGTTTCGAATAGTCCAGAGTTCCATTCAAAAAACCCTCAACTTCTTGCATATACGCTTTCCAGTCGATTTCTGTGTATGGTACTCGTTCGATAACCAATATGTTCAGAATAATTTCCAGGATAATGAATACCTTTCCAATTAGAAGTAATTTCCTTGGATCTGTGAATAAGGAAACCAGTTTCTCCCATTCTAAATAGTTTTCGTACCAATTCTTCACGTTTTTCTTTGATAATTTCACCGAATTGTGGTTAGAACGAAGATCTCTGCGCGGTGCCATATTGCTACGCGTACCATACACAGACACAGTACAGTATCTCTTTGCTAACAATAAGTCATGTAATGTAGTTGCAAAATTTGGGTCATGCAACAACTGCCTGATAGAAAAAAAAAATTCCATTTGAATTCAGCACAAAAATACTATTAGAGTCGTCTATTAATATCGTATGTAATATAAAATGAACGTTCTTTTTGTTGGCCATTGTAATTCATTTTTAGTTAATTATATTACCGCAAATAATTAGTGACTGTTGTGACACTTGCTGATATTAACAAAAAACGTCGAAACTAATATTATTAATACGCAATATTGGTTTATGGAAATTCAATAAATAATTTAATATATACTTGTTCGTTATAACTATGTAGTAAATAAATAGAATAAACGAACTAAAGTTCATTGAGTATTCTAGTGATGCAATTGGTGGAAGGTGGAACGGTATCTGGACATCTCTAGATTCTCGTAACTTAATGCTGGTTAATGTCTCATTTGTCTATTTATTTAGGTTATACCAATGATGTAAAGTACAAACTGTATAACGTTATATGTTTACCATAAAAGAATTAGAGATAAAACGCATTAAAAATGGTGTCATTTTTACGCAATTAAAAAAAATATATTCATGTTAGTTTTAAGTGTCTAGTATTTGAACGACTCAAAAATTGTGTACACGAAAAGAAGAAGAAATTTGGAACATTATTTCGGCCACGTGACTTTGACAATTCATCACTTCCTTTATGTACTCGTTTTGGAATTTTAATTTTCAGTATACTCTGATTTTACAAAAATCTCTCAAATAACACATTTTTATTTTAAGTTTTTAGTGGTTGTTTTGTAAATGTAAGTTTTACTTTATAGTTCTTGATTTCAGAAATATTTATGTGTTTTAAAATCTTTAGCTTAGTATTACTTTTGGGGATTTCCAGATTATAAATCATAAAGATGGCAAAGAGGGTGCAACCACCTTGGGTACCACCGCAAAAGAAGAATTCGGCGGTTCTTAAACTATACAACAGTTTAACTAGAGAAAAAGAAGTGTTTGTATCACAGTTTGGAAATCGCATATTTTGGTACAGTTGTGGACCCACTGTGTACGATGCCTCACATATGGGACATGCTAGGTAATTTTAAATTTGATCATAAACTCATTATGTGATCTTTTTTGTGTATTAGGTGTAACAATGTGCTAATATATCATAACATAATTTCCTGTTCTATTATAGGTCATATATATCTTTTGATATATTAAGGCGTGTCATATCTGATTATTTTGGATATGATATTTTATATGTAATGAATATTACGGATATAGATGATAAGATTATAAAAAGAGCCAGACAAAATTATTTGTATCAGCAATATATAGAAGAAGCTCATACCCTTGATGAAATTTTAGATGATGCAAAAAGTGTAATGCATATGTTTGAAGGTACAGTGAAGACCACTAATGATCCAGATAAGAAGTGTATGTTGCAGAAAATGTTGTGCAATGTAGAAAAGGCTATTGAGGATCTTGAAAATGCTGTGAAACTTAAGGATGAGAACAAGATTAAGGAATTTCAAGAAGTAAGTGTCTTGTAGTATAATATAATTACCAGATCATATTATTAAAATTAATGTCAGAGCAACTGGTTACTGAAGACAATTCAAGAACTTTGCTGATTTGGTTTGTAATGTAAAAAAGAAGACATGCACAATGCTTATAAGTGTTGGCACAATTAGACCATTTGATTTGACATTGATTTTACCTTTTTTCATACAATGGTATTATCTAAAGATGCTTAACACCTTCTCTGGATGTAGTTACTTTTAAAAGAAGCAAGAGATCCTTTGGCAGACTGGCTGGATAAAAGGAAAGGAGCTACAGTGACAGAGCATTCGATCTTCAATAAGCTATCTCAACACTGGGAATCAGAGTTCCATAAAGATATGGATGACTTGAATGTAAGGTGAAGTATAATTGAGAATTTAATCAAGTATTTATATGAATTGCTCGTAGGTATTAAGACCAAATGTTTTGACAAGGGTTAGTGAATATGTTCCTGAGATCATAGCGTTTATTAAAAAGATCGTAGAAAATGGACTGGCATATGAGAGCAATGGTTCCATATATTTTGATGTTACCGCCTTTGATAAGCAGGATAAACATTACTATGCCAAACTTGTTCCAGAGGCTTATGGTGATACATCAAGTTTGCAAGAAGGAGAAGGTAATTATCAGTATTTCTTATGCACTTGATTGTGAATTAATAGTTAATAGAAATCAATTTAATTGAGAATTTACTATCACTAGGAGACTTGAGTACTGCAGAATCATCTGAGAAAAAGTCGCCAACTGATTTTGCACTGTGGAAACGTTCGAAGGAAGGCGAACCATGGTGGGAGAGTCCTTGGGGTAAAGGACGACCCGGCTGGCACATAGAATGCTCAGTGATGGCGTCTATAATTTGCGGAGAAAGCTTAGACATTCATACTGGAGGAGTTGACTTGAAATTTCCTCATCATGATAATGAAATAGCACAAGCGGAAGCGTATTTCAATAATTGCAATTGGGTTAGATATTTCCTTCATACCGGTCATTTGACCATAGCTGGCTGTAAAATGTCGAAATCGTTAAAAAACTTCGTTACCATACAAGATGCATTGAAGAAACATTCGGCGAGACAGTTGAGACTTGCATTTCTTTTGCATTCATGGAAAGATACATTAGATTATAGTGACAATACTATGAATATGGCACTTCAGTATGAGAAGTTTTTAAATGTAAGTATGAATCATTGTAAATCAACTCTCTTTAGTTAGATAATAACTTGTAAATATAAAATTTATTCTTGTGCCAGGAATTCTTTTTGAATGTAAAGTGTAAAATTAGGTCTTTGGGTTCGGAAACAAATATTAATACGTTCAGTAAATGGACAAATTCCGAAATGGAATTGAATGCAAAGTTCAGCAATGCTAAGGACTCTGTACATAATGCACTATGTGGTAGGTTTGCAATGAGTTATAAATTATGCACATTTATATACATTTGCATACATTAGAAATACTTAACAAATATTCTTTAACAGATAATGTTGACACACGAAGTGCACTTGATATGATTAGAGATATTGTTACACATTGTAATATTTATATGAATCAAACTAAGCAACCGAATACCTTATTGCTCAGGGATGTTGCAGTTTATATCACAAAAATGTTTACTATATTTGGTGCAATATCATCTTCACATGATACCATTGGTTTTCCAGTAGACGATAATACAGCGAACTTGAATGTACGTTTTATATTTCTCATTTTTTATTTATAACGCGTAGACGTTGTTTATAAATCTTTCTACAACCAGGTTGAAGAGGTCGTAATGCCTTATTTAGAAGTTCTGGCAAACTTTCGAGAACAAGTGCGGAATGAAGCAAAAATACTTAAAGCTAATAGTATTCTTGAAGAATGTGATAAATTGCGCGACGACGTTTTACCAAATATCGGCGTGCGTTTAGAAGATAGTAATGAAGAATCTTGTCGAGTGAAATTGGTAAATCGTGAAGAACTTTTAAGGGAGAAGGAATGTAAGAGGAAGCAAGAACTTGAAAAAGCAGAGGAGAAGGAGAGACGAAAGATAGAAGCTGCTGCGGTGGCTGCAGCAAAAGAAGCTCAAAGAAAAATGCCTCCCTCTGATATGTTCAAGCTGGAGAAAGATAAATATTCTCAATTCGATAGCAACGTAAGTAAAATTAGTTACTTGCTGCAAAAATTAGTGATTGTTTGGAGTTCTCTAGCTCTACTGTATCATATCATATGAAGAATATGCTTGTCCACTAAACCAAAACTTTGTATTGTTTATTAGGGTATACCAACGCACGATGCTGAAGGTAAAGAAATCAGTAAAGGACAAGTAAAGAAACTGCAGAAGCTGCAACAAGCACAAGAGAAACGATACAACGAATACCTTGCTTCTATTGAAAATGGCGTATAATATTCTTCCCTTATATAGTATTAATTTTGCGCGCAAAAGATACACTTGTCCAAGACAAATGTTATCTTCATGCGCGCAAAATATTTATTTCCCATTTTGGTTTCGTATCATTGCATCATTGTGTTAATTTATTGTTAAGAATATTTATGTTGATGCTTGCATATGTGTGGTATTTAATGGAATGAGCGAATTGTGGTATACCGATTTTATATTTTTCTAAAATGGTACGACTAACAGATACAGTTACTGTACTTAAAATATTTGTAATGCTGATTATGCTATTGTATCGATACGAATGGTAAAAGAACAATAAACCTCCCATGCAAAATTTAATAATACTGTTGTCATTTTTTAAACACGAACTACATATTGCAAATTGACTAATGATTTAAATAGATTTAAATTCAGGATAATAATATTGACAAACTACTTACACGAAAATCATGCAGATGCTCATACCAATTGCCTTAAGAACTTGTAGATAGGAAGACTGTTTCCGCCGTTTGGCAAAATATTTACTTTTTAACTGTTCATCGTATGATCCCCACATCAGCTATGACAAATACTCTGTTTATTATTAAAACATGACATATTGCAAATACACTACGATCCTTGCGAAATACAAATTGATAATCAATGATTAATAAATGATTTTATTCAGTTAAAAATGAAAGAGATACGTCACTAATTTCTCGCAATGAACATTCGTGGTTTAGTTCTATATAAGACTATGATTTTTAATCATAATGTCATTTCGTGCCGACATCCGGGTTTCGAGCGTGCTGAAACAAAATAAACTTGGGTGCGTTTTCATACCTTACCGGATGAATCTGACACGTGATGCTGTCCATTATGGAAGCATAATACCCCTTTCACAATGACGCGCGGAGCCGTCAGTGACAGCTTTATAAATGTAAAAGCGATATAATGCCCGACTTGCGGCGAGGCGGTCCGATATTCATCCCGCATTCAGGAACTGTGAACACGCGAGGCAAGCGAACGGGTCCTGTATTGCGGACGCTTTTCCAACTGTGGAAAATACACGGTCTGATAATGTCTCGTGCCAAAAACGCGACGAAATATTTAGAACCCCCCCCACCCGCGACTTCCATTCCCTTGTTTCCGGTCCCAAGCGAAACGAGGGTGAACACCCTTTTACCAGTTTTCGCCATTTCGAAACGTACTCTTATCAACATTGCTCACCATATCAAACTACATAATCCATTAACTCTAATAATAATAATAATAATCATTACCGCGCAAAATCGTTGTAATCTCCTCGAAGTCGTTCGATTTATTTGTTCGCGTTATTTCTTCACTCGACGGTATTCCTTTCATGGGTGTCGCGTTAGCGACACACGGGGGAAAAAGCTGGTAAAGTTGACGTTAACAATGCGTGACGGTTGACGGAGAAAAAAAAAAGAATATGCTCTCGAATATGAAGTCAAGAGAGGTAAAAAAAAAGCAAACAGACATTTCGCTCTTCGTCTCGCTTGCTCACTCGCGTTCACTTTCACCCCGTGTTTCGCTACTCCACGGGCCTGCGTGAATGAATACGTAAATTTTTTCGGAAAAAAGTCCGATTTTCGCACCCCAAAGTCGGGAAGGTCTCGACTGTTGATTGACAACTGAATGTTCTCGTATGCATATAAAGCCCCGCCACCACCACCCCCCTCTTCCGTCTCACCGCTTGGCTGTGGTCCTCGTTTGCCGGTCTATTACTTTATCCCGGGGTCCGGAGTTCTGTAACTGTTGTAATTTAATGAGCACCACTCTTCACACTCGTATTACCGACCGTGTGTATAAGTATCCGGCACCTTTTCCTCGTCAAATGCCATTCGTTTCCGCGTACTTCCCCCCCGCCTTCCCATTCCCTGGTTCCACCACGGCGCTGATCAGAGCTTGTTCTTCCCGCCTTGATGTAACCGACTGGCGATCAAGAGAAACGTGAAAAAAGTCGAGTAACAAAAAAGAAAAAACGAGACGCGTGGAAAGGTGAAACCGCGGGATGCATTCGAGGAAAACGAGGCGTATTTGTCGATGGGTAAATTAGAGTGGTACAGGCTTGTGTCCTGACGCGATTTGAATAAGTACGTTACGCAGCGGTGGCGACCGGTAGCAACGTACGCTAACGGGAATTGTCGCGGTGAAATCTGCGACACTGGATCCGCTGGATGTAACGGCTGAATTACTGGAAACGGGAGAATTGTTTTCATTTTGGATAGAATCGCGCGCGAGTGCGTTGCAACGGGGACTCGAGAGAGAAAAAGAAAGAAGTTTTGAAGTTTCATTAAGAGAGCTTCCTTGTACTCGCTAAGTTCCCGCCGAGACTTATTTCCTGTTCTAGGCGACTCCCGCGGATTTTGTTCCCTCCCGGTTCCGGAGTCTCTTGCATAATTCAATTACGGTTGAAAGGAAAGTAAACATTCGACGGGGTCCTTGGAGGAGTACTTCTCGGTGCGTTTAAAAGGATTCTAAACTGAAGTTAATGGAGAAGAAAGAGCTTGACCAGGGAATGCTCTTCGGAGTTGGGTTTTATCCGAAGAAAAATGAAGGTAGACCCCTGTCTAGATTTAATTAAGATTTTGTTCAGGGTTTACACCTAGATTCGGTTAGATCTGTCATGAATGTGTATAGTTTAATTGTGATAGATTAATAACGGTTAAGACTGGTTAGGTAACTCCTAATCAAGCGTACCTAACCTATGTTTGGTACCATTCGAGAATATACAATTCTGTGTGTTCGGTCAGATTATATTCAAATTAGTACTAGGTCTGCATTATGTTAGATTAGACCTATAAAACAAGTTTGTATCACTCTATTGTTAATACTGATGCGAGAGTGAATTACATTTCATTAACATGTTCGCTGCGTACATCGCGGGTCCGCGTCGACTATCGACTTTGGCGATAGACGTGTGACAATCGGTAAGCAGCGAACGTGTTAACCTGTTGATTTGTCTTCTTTTTCTATTAATTCATCCTTTTATTTATGCAAGATACATTTTGTTTGCCTTTCATCTCAAAATGACCTATGTCAAATTGAGGGCAAAATCGGAACAAGGTTTGCGCGAGTCAATTTACTGCACATGTTGCTGCCAATGTGCGCGCAAGGTGTTTGTAGCAAATCTTGCATCAAACTGAAGCCATAATTTTATAAAAAAAAAAGTGTTGAAATGTTGCGCCAGACCCGGTTCAACGACAGGAAGTCATTAAGCATTAACCGCAAGAACGCGTGAAAAAAAAATCCGAGTGTCGTTATTTACACCAGGCGAATCGATGATTCCGTGTCATAAAAGGAATCGGGATGCCGGCACGGACACGGACGAGCTAGAGAGACATAAATAATGTATTGTTCGCGATTTGAGGACAGCCACACCACCGTGGTGGTGGTCTGGGCGTCGGGGCGCCCTCGGAGGGGTGGAACGGCGGAGCCCACTTTTATAACTCCATCGACAATTTTTCGGGCTACCCTCCTCTGCTCGTCGGTTTTCGATTTACACCGCAGACACATCGCCGCGCGCGCTCTTATCCTTTTGTTTGATTTATTTTCTCTCGCGCCGGAAGGAGTGATTTTCCGAAACTTTCCCGGCGGGCGAGCGATTATTCCTATTGTTGCGCCCTTTTGGTACGACGACTGCGATGAAACGCATCAAAAAGTCGATGACAAATCGCTCGCGGACACGGAGAGAGTCGTCTCTATCAAAACCCTTTATGACCCTTACCGGAATGAAAACTAATTGAATTCGGAGTAACATTATTTCATCTTTTTCTATTGACGAATTGTTTTCGTTTCAGGAGAAGAATGCTGTGCAATATTTATGTTGATAGCATATTGAACAGGCGCTACATCCTTTACTAGCAAAGACAAGGGATACTGCAACAAGAATGCTCGGGGACTTCGACCCTGCCAGATTATTGGACTATACCATGTAAGTATACCCCCGTAATGCGGTTAAAATCATGAACATAATTTTAAAAACGACCGTGGTTAATGTATAATAACCTTATTTATTAACAAAAATTAAAAAGATATGTATAGAATATAAGTATGTAATTTAATTTTCTTAATCTATTTCAGATCATGTTCAGAATTTTGTCTGATTGTATGTGCTGAACAATTAGATGCCCGGTTGTCGGAATTCTACTACACATAGTTCACTGTCCCTACATACACTCTTGTCATTGCCATGGATTCACATAATCTGCACACGAAATTGACCATCATTCAGAAATCTACATCTTTTTCTGTAAGTTATACTCGATTCAATTAGTTTACACCTTTTTAAAGCTTTCTTACAACTGCATAAACGCGTGAAATCGGCAGTCTAAAAACTGCTTGGTCGCGTGCCACCCGATCCATCCGAGCAGGGTGAGAGAGGTGGGCCCGTGTGTGTGTTTTTCTATCGCAAAAACACGGTGCACAAATACGGCTTGTTACGCCGCGGCCCTGAATCCGATTGCGTCTTGCGTGCGCGGCGTGTAATGGCACCCTTTTATGTTAATCGCTAACCCTTCCGCGTTTAACCAGCTGCGCTACGACATGTATTGTCTCGGCTCGGTTTTTTTCGACGAGTTTTTCGTCTCCGCGGGCCCACGGCCGCGTTTTGTTATTACTGCCACGGGGTCCCGTTTGGAACAAAACGGAACCGCACGCGTCTAGGTCGACCCACGTGTCCGTCGTTCTGGGGTCATTTTTTGTTCCTCCCTCGAAGGAGAAACAGCGGAAAAAACGTGGTTACCACGGGGTGAGAAAGAGTGGCGGAGGGTGATCGTCTTGCAAAAAAAAAAAATGAAAAAATGTAATGGGTAGCGCGAGCTTAATGAACGGCGAGTCGACGAGCGGTTGCAAATCGGCCTTAACTCGCTGGAATCGGTCACCCTTTTGGGGTTTTTGCACCGTGGCTCGAAAACGAGTTATTCTGAATCGGTTTATCCGATTAATCGGAGTCGTATGAACGAATGGTAGGTTTTTTTTCCTGCTGGTTTGTTTGATGAGCC